GCGCCGCCACCCCGAGCGTGCAGGCCGGGAGCAGCGCAGCCGACAGGAAGCGCACCGCCCGGCACGGTGCGGGGCCGAGGCGCACGCGGCCCAGTCCCGGCGGGGGCGCGGCCAGCAGACCCAGGGGCATGATGGAGGCGGCCGCCAGCAGATCCACCACGCACAGGTGCACCAGGTAGAGCGCGTCTTGGAGCCCCGGTGTGCGCAGCACCACGATCAGAAGTGCCCCGTTGCCCAGCAGGGTCCCCACCTCTACGAGAATCGCTAGGATCAACCCCACAGAGCCTGCGATTTCTGTGGCGTTCAGCATTGTGGTATTGGCCATTGGAGCGCTCAGGCCTCTCTTGTGCTGGTCTGCGGAGAGCAAATCCGAGCCTCCAGGTCCAGGGTTCCCATCACCTGTCCCTTATTCCTCTGGCCCCTCACCTCATAGGCTGCCCAGGAGGTGACTCCGATGCCCAGACTGCCATCTTCTTGCGGGCTTGGTGGGTCCCATGGAAGGGTATAAGGCTAAACTTGCTGGCTCTCTCCTCCTGCCCCAGCCCAAGTCCAGCAACTCAGTCTCTGTGGAGATGGTACTGGCTGTCACTCTGATGTGTCCTTCGGATACACACAGAGCTTGTGAGGGAGGGGCAGGGCCTGGTGCCAGCCCCCTGGGTCCTAGCAGCTGCCAGCCGGAGAGTGGAGGCTGTGCTGTGGAAGGGCCCCAGGAGCCTCTCAGAGGTGACAGACCCGGCGCCGGCTTGGAGCTTAGACTGAGGAGGTTAGAGTGTGGTTTTGGAGTCAGCCAGATCCTGTTCTGTCTTTCCCAGGAGTGGGAAGTGGGGGCTATTAATAATCTCAGTTAGTCCTTGTGCTGAAGGAAACAGAGGCACAGTCAGAAAAGCTGGAGCAGGAAGACCCTTAGGTATGCTGTGGTCCCCGGGAGGGCTGGGAAAATGAGAGAGAATCCCAGGTGTTGAGCCAACATTAACGGCACAGAACAGGTGCTTCATGACAGTGAGTGGAACAGGCAACTGCTGGTTAATTTTTTTGTTTGTTTGTTTTTACTGCTAGCAAACAGGTCCCCTTCTGGTAAAAGCACCCTGAACTTTCTGTAGGAAACTACCCCTTCTCAATTTTCAGGACATGCAGTCTGGGTGAACAAGATCCCCACCCTCTATTTTCCTGCACAAAACGGAGTCCTTGCCAATCAGTGAATGGCATCCACCCCCACCTCAAGGTGACTGGCTCAAGGAAAGCCCTGTAACCCCAGTAGGGTACATGTGACAGGTGAAGTCTCCCAGTGTCATGGCACGACCACATATATACCCTGATAGCTTTAGCATACCTATCTATCTATATCTATCTATCTATCTACCTACCTATCTATCTATCTATCTGTCTATCTGAAACTTCTTCCTCTTTCTTGGACAGCAGACTTGAGTCTCCAGCTGTCTCTTCAACATCTCTTCTAGAACTTTGACTAATGGCATCTCAAACTTCTTATGTCCCAAACAGAATTATGACTCTTGACTCCTGCTCTACCTTCTCCTCTCAGAGACTTCTCCTTCTCAGGATGGAAGCCTCCCTTTTCCCTGTGCCTACATCCAATCCATCAAGATCTTGAAACCCAGCCATTTCTCACCACCAGTACCACTGCCTTGGCCCCTGACACCACCACCTGTCATCTGGACCATTGTAGCATCCTTCTAACTGGTCTCCTGGCCTCTGCTCCTGCACTTTGTGCTGTTCATCTACCTATTTCCCCTCTCTTTTGCTCTGTTCCACCTTCCTGGCAACTGTACTTTCCAGGCTTCTTTGGGAGTATCAGTCAATGGAAGTTACCAGCAGAAGACTGAGGGGTGGGAAGAAGAAGGAAACCAGCGTGGGCCTATAAAGTTGGTTGTGGAAGAAGGCATCTCTCCCTGTAGCCCTGGCTTCCTCTGGCAGCCTCCTCTGTGTTCTGGTTCTTGCAGGGTGAACCTGGTTTCTGGGCATCAGAACACTGTTTCCTTCTATCATCCCTCCAGCATTAGGGTGGGGGTGACTTCCTGCTATTGCTCAGCTCTGGATTGCCTCATCATCTCCTGTTTGATCCTTTCAATTCTTTCCCTGTGTCAAACTCCCCTTGTCTGAGATAACTGGTGTAATTTCTGTTTTGTGGCTGGATCTTGACTGACACATGCCCTGCAGTCCACTCTCAACACATCAGCTGAAGTGGATCTCAAAATAAATCAGATGGGGTCATGGCCCCGTTCTTGTCCCTCCAAGAGCTACCCATCATCAGTGGAATCTCAGCTCCTCTGTACTGTGAGGTGGCCTCCATTATCTGCTTTCTTTCCACATCTCTGAGCTTCCCTACTCTTTGCCCATCGTACTTTAAAGCCAGACCAGGGGGGAAAAGTTAGACCCCATCTCAACAAATAAGCCAGGCATAGTGGCACATATCTGTGATCCCATGTATGAGCGAGGCTGTAGGTAGGAGGACTGTGGTCCAGACTGGTCTTGGGCAAAAACATGAGACCTTATCTTAAAAATAATTAAGGCAAAATTAATTATTGTGGCTCAAGTGGTAGAGCACTTGCCTAGCAAATACAAGGCCTTGAGTTCAATCCCTGGTACCACCAAAAAATAAAAACAATTCCATCTTGCTGTCACTCTAATCCTTTTATCCTGCTTTAGTTGTCTTCCTGGCACTTTCCTTACCTGATACTATAGTTTGTATTTATGCCTATGGTTGTTTGGAGACTGTTTTGCTAGAATGTAAGAGCAGGTTCCTGCATTGTCTGAGTCTTGCTCAGCTCTGTACCCTCTGAGTCCACCACAGGCACACGGCCTGAGGCATCTCTACGGATGTAGATGAAGGAGACCAGGCATGATGAACCTCCATGCAATGATGACTCATTCCATGCTGGGATTTTATAGGTCCCAATCCAATTTTCCATTATTCAGATGAGAAGACAGAGGCCCAGAGAGGGAAGGAATGTGTTCCAGATCTCACAGCTGGAATCCTGGTCACCTGCTTCCTAGAGCTCTGTCCACACAAGTACCCCTTCCTGCATCTGGTCATAATTTGAATGCTCACAGGCATTTGCCTTTCAGAGGTGAAGCTGAATTTTATTTTATTTTTTTGATTGTATTGGGGTTTGAACTCAGGGCCTCTTGCTTGAGGCAAGTGCTGTATTGCTTGAGTCCCCACCATCCTCCCCACCCCCCTACCCCCCCACCAGCCTTTTTTGCTTTAATTATTTTTCAGATAAGGTGTTGTGTTTTTGCCCAGGGAGGGTCTTGAAACATGATCCTCCTGAATAGGTGATTACAGACATATACCACCATGCTTGGTGTGAAGCTGGAGTTTTGAGGTTTTGGTTCAGAAGGAATTAGAAGGGTCAACTCCTCCTGCCTCTGTTTCCTGTCCAGCCAGGCATGCAAGGCTTGTGGAGGAGCAAATGAGAAAAAAAAAAAAGGGACCGGAGAAGGCAATAGATGGGGACCATGGTGGGTTGGAGGTGCTAAAATTAAATAAAAATTAGAACACTCTACAGTGTATGTGTGCCTATGTAAAATTTGCAAAAGAAATATAAAGGATAAACCAGAACATATGAAATGGGAGCCCTCCAGCAGGTGAACAGAGTGAGAGGAACAGAAGAGCTCTTTGAGCACGCTTTGTATAGTTTCGACTTTCTGGAGCTGGGTTAATGTTCTACATACAGAAAGCCATAAATTAACAAGGATAAGAGTACCCCCAAAGGTGAATATAAACCAGAAACAAATAACCTGTCTTTATTGCAAATGAATAACATAACCACACTGAAGAGAAACAAAGAACTAATTCAGGTAAAATTTGAACCTGGGAACCTGTGTTCATACTCTTCCTTTACCACTGACCTTCAGTCTAAAGGCATAAACTTGAATAAGATGAGTTCTACTTGGATTTTTTTTTTTTGTAGTAGTGGTGCTTGAACTCAGGGCCTTCACCTTGAGCCACTTCACCAGCCCTATTTTTGTGAAGGATTTTTGAGATAGGGTTTCTGGAACTATTTGCCTGGCTAGCTTTGAACCGCAATCCTCCTGATCTCTGCCTCCTGAGTAGCCAGGATTACAGGTGTGAGCCACTGGCAGAAAAGTTTTTTTTTTTTAATTGTTTACTTTTGACTGAGGGTCTTACTACATAGTCTAGTCTAGGCTAGTCTCTAACTCTCAGTCTCTTGCCTTAGCCTCCTGAGTGCCAAAATTACGTATGCCACTATGTTCCACAGAAAGTTTGTTTTTCACTATGGTATAGAATTTCTGAAACTCCTTTTTGTGGAGGACAGGGCAAATAAGAAAATAGATTGACAAAAAAATAAAATGAATAAGTAAATAGATTGATACTGAGGGAAACCCAGGTTCTTGCTGTTTGAGAATGGAGGAAATATGACATTGGGGAAGAATGGAAGAACTCTGTGGTGCTTGAATGGAGCTGGAGGAATACACAGAGATGCTTGTTCATTACTTAGCCACACACACACATTTCCTAGCCTCCCTCACCAAAAGGACTTAAAAGCAGTGACACTCCAGTACCAAGAAGAACATGTACTGCCCAGATCATGGATATGAAACACTATTTCCTGCTCCAGGGAGCTGGAGCTCCTTGGAAAAATGACTAATTCCAGGTTTGTACAGGATGAACGCAGGACATTTTGTGATGCCAGAAGGTAAGAAAGTGCTCAAAAAATGACTGGGACACACAAGGGACCTTCTGTTGGCCAAATGTGGGACAATTTGAGAATAAAAATAAAGAATGAGGGTTGGAGGCATGGTTCATGCAGCAGAGAACCTGCCTAGCAAGTGCAAAGCCCTGAGTTCAAACCCCAGTGCCACCAAAAGAAAAAAGACTGTAATGGATTATAACCCATTGAATAAAATGAGAACTGATGATTCGATATTAATACGGAAGAAAGGAAGGAAGGAAATATATGTCAAAGAAATGATGGCATTTGGTGGTTCTGGGATTTAAACTCAGGGCTTTGCACTTGGTAGGTAGGTGCTGTTCTGCTTGAGCCATGCTTTCAGCCCCAGAAATGATGGAGTCGGGTAACCACCAGTAGCAACCATCTTAGCAAAACTTGATTCAGGTGACTGATTTTGGGTAAATATTACAGAGGATGTTAAGGCTAGTGGGTATAAGTTGATGAGGATTGGAACATTTACAGCTCACATTTCCCCCAAGATCACTGATTAATTACACACGGGAGGAATGCCTGCTTTCCTCAGTGAAGTGATCAAATTTATTCACTGTGTCCAAAGATGCCACATGTCCCTCGCACTGTAATGCACTGAGGGAACATCATTTATGTCATGTTTCTGCCCGTACAATAACTGAAATCTAATGACAAGACGTCAGACACACCCAACTGACAGACAACCACTGACCTGTACTCTCACAGTGTCAAAAATGTCAAAGTCATGAAAGAAAAAGAGGGTTGAGGAACATTTTCAGATTAAATGGTGATTAAACAGACACAACGGCAATGTATGGCTCCAGACTGGGTCCTGACCTGCTTTCCAGCACCTGCACCCCGGTCCATGGATGGGGTTACCTGGGGTGATAACTGGGATGGGTTTCGGGACTGCAGAGCTGTGTCCCTCTGACAGGTGCTCAACTTGTCTATAATATCCATGTTTGAGACCTGCAAAGTTATTTGATGTCAAGACATGAGGAATGCTTGATTCACCTGGCAATGTCTAGACTAAAGGACAGAATCACCAGGCGGGTCCCCTAAGGACACACAGTTCTAATTTAATGGAGGAGAGGGTCCCTTTAAAGGCACAATTATTAGAGGAAACAAGGTGTTGCAGCAATGGCTGTGAGTGGGAAGGGGTGCGACAGGCCTCTGCTTATCTGTGCTACCACTGCCCCAGGCCTGGCCTCCTTTCTCAATGTGATCCAGCACACGACAGCCCTTGCCCCACTCTAAAGAGTGGGCACAGACAAGCAGAGGCCAAGGGCTCATGCTCAGTAAGTCTTCCTGAGCACACCTGGAGTTTAGCCTACCATAGTATGCACATCTCTCAGATGCATGATCTGGGCCAGGGGGACAACCTGGTGGATGTGAGATCCCATCTATTTTGGCCTGTGCCCCTCTAACCAGCCTTGAGAAGGCTGCTGCATGTGGTCCCCAGTAATGAGCACCCCCACCATCTTAGGAGGCAACACTCTGGGGTCACAGCCCTGCCAGGGCTAATGGAGACTGGAGAGTGGGGGTTCCTCTCTGGTTTAGAGGAAGGTCTGGTAAGAAGGGGTGATATAGTTCAGCAATCCCATTTCCAAAGGAACGAAATTGGTGTGTTGAAGAAATGTCTGCACTTTCATGTTTATTGCAGCCTTCTTCACAACAGCCATGATATGGAACCAACCTAAGTTTCCACCGATGGATGAACGGACAAAGAAAATGTGGTATGTACAATGGAGTATTAGTCAGCCTTCAAAAAGAAAAGAATCCTTCATTTGCATCAACATGAATGAACCTGGAGGACATTTATGCTAAGTGAAGTAAGCCAGGCACACAAAAAGACAAATACCACACGCGCTCACTCATGTGGAATCTAAAAAAGTTGAACTCCAAGTGGAATAGTACCTACCAGAGGATTGGGGGGAAAGGAGTTAGGAAAATGTGGTCAAAAGGTACAAAACTCAGTTACATTGGAGGAATAAGTTCAAGAGATCTCCTGCACAACATAGTGATTACAGGTAATGACAATGTACAGTCATTTGTCACTTAATGATTGGGTTACATTCTCAGAAACACATCGTTAGGTAATTTTGTCATTGTGTGAACATCCTAGAGCATGGTCACATAGACTAAGATAACTAGTGTCACTAGATGTATCTGATGGAACCTTCGTAATATAGTGGCCCACTGTTGACTAAAACATTGTCGCTGATGCATAATTTTAATTGAATTTTTTTTTGAGATAGGTCTTGCCATGTTGCCCAGGTTGGTCTCCAGTGATCCTCCTGCCTGAGCCTCCTGAGTAGCTTGTGCCTACATGCCTGGTATGTATTGTATTCTTGGGGAGAAAAGGGGGGGGATGACATGGGGGTACCAGAGACAGGGAGGAAGATTACAGTTCAGGGTCCAGCCGTTGGCAGGACGTGGGACAGCGCAGGCAGCTCAGAGATGAATTTCCAGAAGGTAGCGCAGGCAGCACTGGCTCTCCTGGTAGATGAGGTACTCGCTCTGGTAGAACCTGGAGCTGCTGAACTCTGGGCATGGTATGGGCCGGCCCTGGGGCACCACTACTTGCTGGCCATCCAGCTGCAGCTCAATGTCCTGAGTTGGATCTGCAAGGCACAGCAAGGGGTCACTGGTATCTGGTGTTACCTGTACATCTTGCTCCTTACACCCTCTACTTTTGACACAGGGAACACCCCCTTGCCCACCTCCAAGCCTCTGCATGGACTGGACCTTCTGTCTGGAATTTCTTTCTCGGGAACTCATACTTCAGTGCTCAGTCAGACATTACTTTTTTTTTGCCAGAACTGGGGTTTGAATTCAAGGCCTCATGCTTTCTAGGTAGGTGCTCTACCACTTTGGCCATGACTCTAGCCCTTTTTGCTCTGGTTATTTTGGAGATAGGGTCTCACTTTTTGCCCAGGTTGATCTGAATTGCTTTCTGCTGTTGCTGGGATGATAAGGAGTAGGCCACCAAACCCAGCATTTTTCTGTTGAGATGGGCATCTCACAAACTTTGTTGCCTGGTATGACCCTGGAACCTCAATCCTTCAGCTCTTAGCCTCCCAAGGTGTGAGCCGCTGTTGGGCCTGACTTGCTGCTGCTGTTTTTTTAGGTGGGACTGGGATTTGAACTCAGGGCTTTGTGCTTGCAAAGCAGATGCTCTACCACTTGAGCCACTCCTCCATTCTTGCCTTGTTTCTTTTTGAGATGGGATCTCCCTAACTTTTTGTCTGGGCTGGCCTCCAACTTTGACCCTTCTGTTTCACCTTCCAAGTAGCTGTGATTACAGCTGTATGTTATCACACTTGGCCATTTTTTTTTAAATCTTTAGACAGGGCCTTGCTGTGTAGGCCAGGTTGGCCTGGGATTCACTATGTAGCCTCAGCTAGCCTCAAACTTGTGATTCTCCTGTCTCAGCCAATGACACCACTTTTCAAAGTCCTCTTAGATGCTCAGGAGTGATATACTGAATTAGTGGATGTTTGTTAGATGACAAAGGGAATGATTCCTGTGAGGAAGACTGCTGCATAGTCCACTGTCTGCTCACCTCCTTCCTAAAAAATGTGGCGGCCCCTATCTCAGCCCCACTTCTATCTTCAGGGCTGCCCAGCTTCCCAGGACTCACCAGGCTCTGTCTTGCCTCGGGCGATGACACTGTTGAAGCCAGGGGGTGGACACTTCAAGCTGGGCTCATCGGTGGTGATGTGGTGCTCTTTACCCAGGACTACCTCGCCCAGGAACATATAGCCCACATGGTGGGCCCCACAGCGCATGTAAGTAACTGGAAGACACAGGAAGCTCAGACCCTGCCTGACCCTGGGGGCCCCTTTTTGCCCCAGTGATGATGTTATCTCTGCCGGCTTGTCCCATCCTGGCATCATCTCACCCGCTCCCTCACTCCTTGCTCCCTGTAGCCAGGCTCTGCCCCCTCTGCTGGACTCACCACATCAGTAATGGCCTTCCAGGGACCACACCCAGGGAGCACCTCTCTCCTGGCTTGCTCTGCTGACTGTACCAGTATCCTTCAGCTCCCATATAGGACCCCTTGGTGCTGGCTGTCTTAAGGCCCTCCAGTCACTTTTTCTTAAACTCATTTGCCCTCCCAGTGGGCCCCTTGGTCTTGGGCTATCTCAGAAGGGTCCTTAGATGAATCCTAGGACTTTGCTGTCTTGGACCGGTAGGTTTCCAATGATGAGGTCAGTCTGGGATGAGGAGCTGGCTGGGAGGTCACTGTAGTGAGGACACTCCTGGCCACAAACTTGGAAGACACTGGAGACACCTTTGACCCATTCCACCTTGCACACATCCCTGTCACGGATTCTCTCCCTCCACCTCTATAGCCCTGGGCCTGAGTGAGCGCCTGGTCTCTCCGCAGCCTCCGGCTTTTGCCACCTTCTCCATTGCCAAGCCACTGAGATCCTGCTAAGTGCATGTCCACCTGGACTTACCACTGCTCTCTGGAGAAGGCCTCTTTGAGGGTCCCAGACTCCTAGCTTCTGCCCCCAGGCATGGTGAACTTCTGGTCTGCCTGAACCTCCCTGTTTCTGTGCCAGCCCCTTGCCCTGAAGGCTCCTTTTTCACCCCTTGCAGGAATGACTAGTGCTCGTCCTATCTTCCTCACCTCCTCCAGGAGGCCATCCCTGACTGCCTGGAGCCTCCTCTGAGTAACCCAACCACAGGATGCTCAACCCCATTGAGCATCCTGGCCAGCAATCCTTTAAGGGTTCCTTTCTCAGTCCACCACAAGTCTCCAGTGGACAAGGACTGGGCAAGATCACCTTAGAGCCTCCAGCCCTGCTCAGGTTGCCTCACCATAGGAAGCTGATTTGCTGTTCTCCGAAGCAAAGTAGATTCCCTTGCCAACACGGCCACCAGAGTGTGGCATGATACGGAGCCCGCTGGTGAGAATGGCAGCCACCACAGCCACGTTGGTGCCGTGCCACAGTAGCCTCCGATTACCCAGCTTGGAGTGCGCCTGAAATCTGTCTCCCTGAGCAGGGGAGGGTGGGAGATGGGAGAGGCATGTCACACAAGGGCTTGGGTGCTTCTCTCTGCTGCTTAGATACTATGGTTACACACACACTGAAAACTGGTTAGGGTTGCAAAGCCTGTGGGCCAAGAGACAGATAAACCAAGGTTACCTCCCTAAGGGACAGGGTGGTGATGAGGAAGGCCTGGGGGACTCTCTCTCACCTCTCCTTCTCGGTTCACTTTCCAAATATGCTGCAGCGTGGGGCATTTGTAGTTGCCGGAGGTCTGTTCTAAGTAAGTCTGTATCACCTGCAGGAGAGCAGATGCTGAGGGCCGAGGGTGGCAGACTTATAAACCAATGCCCTGTGGTGTGTGTCTCCCCACCCAAGTCCTGAGCTCTCCTCAGACTCTGGAGACACAGGGAGAGAAGGCTGAGGGCCAGGACAACTCTGGTACCTTAAGGACAGACAGGCAGAGGGATGGTGCTCTGCAAGGCCCAGCCCACCTTGTACTCTGGCTTCCCAGGGTCCAGCAGCTGAAGCCGGCACTTGAGAAGCTGGTAGTCTCGGTCCAGTGGGTGTGGCACCTCCTCCACTCTCTCCTCCTCCCCAGAGGCTGCCTGCAGGGTCTGGGCCAGCTCGATGTCTGCCAGTACCTAAGACGATGGGCAATGGAGCTTGTCTGCCACTGGACCTCCAGCCCCCAGCTTCTCCCACATGACACGTCCCATGGGCATCCCACCTGCTGTCCATCTGTCCATCCCCACCCCATCTGTCTGTCTGGCCTTCCCGTCTTCTGTCCCTCAGCCTGCTCATTGCAATCTGTCTCTCTGGGCCCCTTGGCCATCTGTTCCTCACGTTTTATGCCTGGTCTCTCTGATGTCCCCGCTGCCTGCTGGCTCTCACCAGTAGCATGTCCTTCTTGGCCTGCAGAAGCTCTTGGGAGTTGATGGGCAGGGGCCGGCTGCGCCCAAAATTGTGTGGGATGACAGTGTAGAAGTGAGAGGACAGCTCCTCCAGGCTTTGGCCACCGTCTGTGGGGGCTTTCAGGGCCATCTCCAGGGCCTCCAAGGCCTCGAAGCCCCGTGCGATCTGCTGCTTGCTCAATTTTCCCAGGGGCATCTTCTTTATATCTGGGGGGGTGTCAAGGGAATGGGGGGACTCAGCCCTACAGCCCAGTACCCTGGGGCCCTGCCACCCTGCCTGGCCCCTCACCCTCACCTAGGTTCATAAGGGCCATGGCATTCTTGAACATATCCTTGCTGAAGATGTTGGTGATAAGTTTCTGGGTGGCAGGGTCCAGGGAGCAGGGCTTAGTCACAGTCTTCACTGGGCCTCCATCCACCTGGGGAGAGAGGGTCCACATGGGTGGGAGCAGCTGGGCAGGGCACCAGCACTTGGGTGTGACATTAGACAAAAGACTGCCTGGGCTGAGGCCAGAGTGGGAGGCTGGCACCGGAGGTTGAACAGCTGGGCAGTGGCAGAGCCCTCTTAGCTAGGCCTCTCCAACCAGCTCCTTCCCTCCGACTGGGCCCCACCCACCTTCCCTGGCATCTTCACCTTCACCACAGATTCCTGGGCCTCGGCCTCTCCTTGCACTTCGATGAGTGTGTACTTGCCAGGGTGGATCACAAAATGGTCCCTTTCTGCCCAGTTGTTCTTGGTCTTGTCCCGAAATTTCTTCTCAAAGTCCTTCTTTGCATCTTCCAGGCAGGTGAAGTGGCTCATCTTTGACTGGCCTACTTCTCCCTGCAAGTAACAGCCTTCAGGGAGTGTGCCCACCATAAGTGTTTGTTGGATGGGCCCCGTGCTGAGAGCCCCTGAACAGTTAGAGATGAAGAGGGAAAGTCAGCAGCTGTTTGTAGTCTTTTGGGGACCTTGGGGACCATGTGTGAACAGGAAGAGGTTGTCAGGGCGGTGGCCCAGGCAGGTGGGGCACTCACCACCCGGCCCCAGCGGTTCCAGCAGACAAAATGGCTACCCCCTTCCAGCAGTTGGATGATGTAGAATTTGTTGTTGTTGTTCCCAATGTCGGTCTGGTTCAGGGTGCAGTCATAGTCCTTGTGTACCTGGGCAGAGGTGAGATGGGGCAGGCTGGCTGGGGTTGGGCTTGGCGCCTGGTTGCACCCTGAGAAGAGTCTCACAGTGCTAGGTGTCTGGTTGCTCTGAAGTATCAGAGGGTCCTTGTCTTGGAGCTTGAAGGGGTCATGGTTCTGCCCTAGGGGATGCAGGGCTAAGCCCTGGCAGGGGGTGGAGGTTCCAGGAGAACACAGCTCTGCCTTGGTGAGGGGAATGCATGCTCTTGAGGAACTGGTTTGAGGCGACATGGGTGAGCCCTGGGGAAAGTGAGGAAGTCAGAGCCTTTCCTCAAGTGTGGTAAGGAGGCCTTCCTGATGTCTGATGGGCAGACATGACCCACCTGGATCTGATGGACTACAGCCTTGACCTTTGTGGTCCTGGGAAGCATGGCCTTGCCCTGGTGCTTACTTGGGACCTTGAGCTAACTGGCTAGAGGTGAGCTCCTGAGGGGGAGGAGGCTAGGGCTCGAATGGGGCTGCAGCTTACCTGGGTCCCGGGATTGTGGCTGAGTGGACATGTGGGGTCCACACGGATTATGCGCTTCTCTGCAGGTATGGCCCTGAGCGCCTCAGCAGTGGAGCGGAAGCTGTCCTCGCCTGCCTCCTTTCGCCCTTTCTTCTTGGGTCCCTCGGGCTGCACTGAAGACTTTCGTTTTGGAGCCATGGCTGTTTTGGGGCACAGGGGGGCCCTCAGGCCTTCATGGCCTTTGCATCCCACCCAGTGTCAAGCACCAGCCCTGGACTTGCCCTTTGGGGGCCTCCCCTCTGCCTGTACTGTCCCTATTTCCAGTCCGGGGCAAAACCCAGCTCTCTGTATCTCAAATATGCCCCTTCCTCCAGTCAGAAGTGCTGTGTCAGGACCGGCCCAGTCAGCCCACTCTGGTTAAGGAGGTAGCTGGCCCTACCCTTTCCAGCTCTCTGGGGTGCCCTGGGGTAATAGGAAAAGTGAAAGGAGAGTCTCTCCCTTCCACTTCTGGACTCCTCCCAGTCTAGAACACTCCCTCCTTCTGTCAGCAAGCTTGAGCCTGGCATAGTGGCTGGGCTGACTCATTTGGGCGATGGGGGAGGATAGACAGTGGCTCTTGAGGGCAGCACTTCTGGAGACAGACCTACCCCTCCAGAAGTGGGGACCCAGTGCTGCAGAAGCCTCTTCTTAATCTACTCCAGGCTCTGGGGTGCCAGCCAAGGTTCCAGCTCAGTGGCCTTCAACTACCAGAGGTCAGGGGCCAGTTTCACCCACCCTATTCTGCCCTGCCTCGGAGAGGGTCGTGGACAGGGCCACAGGGCACTCACCGAAGAGAAGCAGGACCTGGGAGAGGTGCCTCCCACCGAGCCTGGTATCAAGAACTCTGTGTGCCCCTTCCAGGGCAGTCTTAGGTCTAAGGTACCCTCCAGCAATCTTCTGTGAGCCTTAGGCGTGTCTCAGGGAGGGAATTCCCAACAATCACTAGCGGAAGGAGACGAGCTTGGGGGGTGGTGAATTCCAGTTATCTGGCCACTAGTGGGGTGAGTCAGAGACTGGGCAGGCGGAGATCGGTGGCCTGTCCCACAGATGAGGGGACACTGATAAGGATACATCGAAGGCCCAGGCACATCCTTAACACTGATCCTTCGCAACACATATCCAAAGTTTTCCCAGTGTCCTTGGCCCTCGGTACTGGTAGTGCCTCTCTCTGCCAAGGCTGCCTGGATTCCACTCCCCTGTTTTCTAGAGCCAAGCTACTTTACCCTTGCCCCCGCCCAAGACCGGGAGGAGTCACGTTCGAACACGGAACTCCGCATCTCTGGCACCCCCAAGCGGCCACGGGGCGCAAACACGGAGAAGGCCCTCCCGTTCCGACCCCTCCCTTGGAGCCAGGCAGTCTCAAGGCGCATGCGCATCAGCCTCCGGCCGGAAGCGCAAAAAAAGGCTCGTTTTCTACTTGAGCTTGTAGGAGCTCTGGTAGGCGTGGCTACGAGTGTCTGTCCTATGGAAGACAGGGGGCGTGACAGAACCTACTGGAAGATCCAATGGAGCTGCGGGAGGCGGGGCCCGTCGGGCGGTGGAAGCCTATCAGGGCACTGGGTCTTGCCATGTGGCCGGAGGTATAGCTGCCATGTGAGTTCTGCTACAGTCGCTACAGCGTACTGGATAGGCAGCATGTCGGCCGCATCTGCAGCTCGTAAGCGGGGAAAGCCGGCCTCGGGGGCCGGAGCCGCTGCAGGGGCCGGCAAGCGGCGGCGAAAGGTGAGCATGGCGCCTCTGGGACCACCATCATCCCATCCTAGGGTGCCGAACCCAGGCCCCTCCTGGCCTTTTCATCCAGGGCCCAAAGCTGGAGGCAGCTTCGTCCCACCCCGCGGGACAAGTCTTGGAAAGTCTTGCTTTTGGTCACGGCCAGGAACCATTGCCTTTCCTAGTCCTGGAGCGCTCGAGGGACCCTAGGGACCCTTGGCCAGTGTCACGGTGGTCGGGACCACTGATCAAGGAAAGGATCCCTTGCTTCCCAGGCCGACTCCGCAGGGGACAGGGGCAAGACGAAGGGTGGTGGCAAGATGAACGAGGAAATCTCCAGCGACTCCGAGAGCGAGAGGTGAGCTGCCGGTTTTCACCCAGTGTAGCGGGAAACTGAGGCCCATGTTGAATGGAAGAAAACTCAGGACTCAAGACTCTGGCCTTTGGCCCTCAGATCGTGGCTCTTTCCTCTAACTTACGGCCTCGGAAGTCTCTC